GCTTGTAACTTTACAGTACAGGGATGGACGATCTGTTACAAAGCACTTGAGTAATTTTTAAGATATATTTAATCGGATGACTACTATGGAGCTTAAGATGGATGATGAAATGAATGTATTATTTCTTTTGGGTTCATTACCAGACAGTTGGAATACTCTAGTTGTGACTGTTCTTAATTCAGCTCCTGATTATAAGGTGACATTAGAGATGGTAAATGATAATATGTTTAATGAAGAAGTAAGGTAAAAATATGTAAACCCTAAGAATCAAGCTCTGATTACAGAGAATAGGGGTAGAAACATCGACAGAGGTCAGGACTCAAAAGACTGTGGTAAGTCTAAATATAGATCCAAGTCTAGAGGTAAAGTGAAGTATTTCTATTGTGGTAAGGTAGGTCATATAAAATGAAACTGTAAAATCTTGAAGCAAGAGCAAAAAAATGAGAAAGATAAAAGTTCAGATGATGGTAATGTTGTAACAGTGAATTCAGATAGTGATTCAGTTATTTTGATTTGTACACATGGTGATTGTAATCATGTTAGTGATCCCGACATTAAATGGATAGTTGACACATGAGCGACATATCATTATGTTCCTAAGAGAGAGTTGTTTACAACTTACAAAGTAAGAGACTTTGGTTATACTAAGATGAAAAACAAAAGTGTATCACAGATTGTTGAGATTGGTGATATTATTGTACAAACTAGTACAGGTCACATGTTGACTTTGAGGGATATCAGACACATTTCAGATATGAGAATAAACTTGCTTGCTATTAATGTCCTTGATAAGGAAAGATATGAAAGTCGATAAAAGAATGGACAGTGAAAGCTTTTAAAGAATCTATGGTAGTTGCAAGAAAAAAACTATGCTGCATAATGTATAAGATATGGATGTAATTGAATAGTAACCAGGTAAATACCATTGAAAATGATGCTTCAGTAAACTTGTGGCACAGGAGCTAGCACACATGAGTGAAAAGAGGTTACAAGTTTTGGTAAGACAGTCTCTTATTCCCTTGACTAAAGGTATGTCTCTCGATTCATGTGATTATTATTTATTTGGTAAGCATCATAGAGTTTCTTTTCGTAAAAGTTCTCAGATAAAAGAAAATAGATTGGAATTAATTTATTATGACGTATGTGATCCCATTAAGGTTAAATCATTAGGTGGTAATAGATATTTTATTACTTTTATTGATGATACTTCACGTAAGACTTGGTATTTATGTTAAAATACAAAAGTTAGGTACTATAATATTTTTAAAAATTTTATGCCATGATTGAAAGGATAACAGGGTTACCTTGAAGTGTATTCGAACTGATAATGGTGGGAATACACATCTAAAGGTTTTAAAGAATATTGTTTAAAGCATGAGATCAGGCATGAAATGACAAAACCTGAAACACCGTAGCATAATGGTATAGTTGAAAGAATGAATCATACCATTATGAAAAAAGTCATATGTATGTTGAGGATGACAAAATTACCAAAGTCATTCTGGGGTGAAGCAGTTAACACGGCTTGTTATTTACTTAACAGATCACCATCAGTTCCTTTGGGCTTTGACATTCCAAAAAGAGTGTGGATAGAAAAAGATACTTTATGCTCTCACTTGAAAGTTTTTGGGTGTAAAGCATTCATACATGTGCCGAAAGAGCAGAGATCAAAGCTTGACAGTAAAGCCATACAATGTGTGTTTATAAGATATGGTGATGAAGAATTTGGTTACAAGGTATGGGATCCAGTAAAGAAAAAGACAGTCAAAAGTAAAAATGTGGTCTTTCATGAAAAAAAAACCATAGCAGACCTTGAGAAAAATGAGAAGACTACATGAGTTACTGTTGAGTGTGATGTTTCAACACCGATAGGGTTTCCACAAGAAAGAGCCACAGATGGTAGAAATGAACAAGAAATAGAACTTGAAAATTTGAATGAACCAGTCACAGTTGGTGATGAGTCAGATGCAATTAGTTTTGAACAAGGGGAGTAATCCTCTCTACCTAAGAGTGTTGAGCAGGAAGAGCTACCTTTGATATCACGTGATGTAGAGTCTCAACCCAGAAGATTTACTAGAGAGCGCAAGCCATCTACCAGGTATCCAAGTTCAAATTTTATTTTAGTTACCAGTGAAAGATAGCCAGAAAGCTTTCAAGATGTGCAGATTACTTCGAATAGAGAGCATTGGTTAAAAGTAATGAAAGAAGAGATGGAGTCATTACGAAAGAATGGTACTTATGATCTTGTTAAACTTTTAAAAGGGAAGAGGTCATTAAAGAATAAATGGATGTTCAAGTTAAAAAAAGATGGTGAAAAACTAGTGAGGTATAAAGCTCGATTGGTAGTAAAAAGTTTTTCTCAGAAACCAAGCATCGATTTTGATGAGATTTTTACTCCAGTTGTAAAGATGAGTTCTATTCGAGTGGTATTGGGATTAGCAGCTAGTTTGAATCTTGAGCTTGAGTAACTTGATGTTAAAACTATATTTTTGCATGGTGATTTACAGGAAAACATTTATATGAATCAGCCTGAGTGTTTTGAAGTGAAAGGAAAGAGCACTTAATTTGTAAATTGAAGAAAAGCTTGTATAGCTTGAAACAAATTCCACGACAGTGGTACAAGAAGTTTGATTCTTTTATAGTGAGTCATAGCTATAAAAGAACAACAGTAGATTCTTGTGTGTATGTTAAACAATTCCTTAATGGTAACTTTATTATCCTATTATTATATGTTGATGATATGTTGATTGTAAGACAATATGCTAGTATGGTTTGCAGGTTGAAAGAACAATTATCTAAGTCTTTTGATATGAAAGATTTAGGTCCAGCAAAGTAGATTCTTGGTATGGACATTATCCGAGATAAGAGAGTTGAAAAGCTATGGTTGTCACAGGGAAAGTATGTTGAACAAGTGCTTGGTAGATTCAACATGCAACATGCAACATGCTAAATCAGTTAGTAGTCCACTTGCCAACCATTTTCATCTAAGTAAGAAATCTTATCCAGTGTCTAAGGAAAAGCAACTAGCTATGTCTAATATTCTTTATTCTTTTGCAATCGATTCTTTAATGTATCTTATGGTTTGTACAATGCCTGACATTACTCATGCAGTTGATGTAGTGAGTAGATTTCTTTCTAATCCAAGAAAGGTTTACTGAGAAGTAGTGAAATGGATTTTTAGATATTTAAGGGGTACCTCAAAAATGTGCTTGACTTATGGAGTTTCACAACCAGTTCTAGAAAGGTTTACTGATGCTGACATGACAGGCGATCTTGATGGTAAGAAATTTACTTCAGGATATTTGTTCACTTTTACAGGAGTTGTATCTCGACAATCTAAGTTACAGAAGTGCGTTGCTTTGTTAACTACAGAGGCTGAGTATATTACAGCAACCGAAGCATGTAAAGAAATGCTTTGGATGAAACATTTTTTTCTTGAATTGTGGTTGAATCAGAAAGAATATGTGATATTTTATGATAGCCAGAGTGCTTTAGATTTGAGTAAGAATACCATGTACCATGCTAAAACAAAGCACATTGATGTTAGATATCATTGGTTACATTCAGTGATTGAAGAACAACAGATGCTATTGAAAAAAATTCATATTGATAAGAATGTAGCAGATATGTTGACTAAGATATTTTTCAAAAAAAAGCTTGAGCTTTGCAGTACCTTGGCTGAAATGAGTTCCCTGGCCAAGGTAAGTTCTAGATAAAACTGTTATGGTGATGAATCTCCTCCTAATGGGGCTGGAAAGGGAGATTGTTAGAAAAATGGGGTCCAACCTCATGTAAGTGGTTTTAGACCAAGTAAAGGCCATGGGCCTTGATCTTTCATTTTACACAAAGCCCTAGCTACTTAATAAAAAAGAGGTGAGATTGTTTTAAGTGTGTGTCGAAAACCAAGTAAAGAAATAAGAAAAGCCAAAAAAAGTAGAGAGAAAAAAGAGAAGGGAGAGTTGGTTGAATGGAAGTCGATCCGTTGTCAAGAGGTTTATGATTTAGAATTTTACATTCTTAACGGTGAAGATCGGGTTTGAAGCTCTCTAGGAATAAATCCATGGTGTATTTGTTGAGTCACTTATTTGGTGAGATTTTTTCAATTGTTTCTTTAATTGTTGATTATCTCTAGTTTTAGCTAGAGAAGAACTTTGTATACCTATTATTTGATAGTGAAGATTTTTCTGGTGGTCTGTGATTTTTTTCCTCTACACTGGAGGGTTTTTCACGTAAATCTTGGTGTGCTTTATTTTTTTTACGTTTTTATTATTAATTGTTGTTTTTACTTTTGTATTGTTGTGATTATTGCTTCAGGCGTAACAAATGATTCCTAAACTAAGGTTAGGAATTAAAATAAAAATTTCCTCAACAAATGTTTGTTGAAATATAAAAAATGTTATAAGGATTTGAAAATGTTTAATGTTTTCAACCTGCAATTTATCTTATGAAAAAGAAAAAAAAAAAAAAAGAGAATGAATGATAATTTGAAAGTAAATGATAATTATGATTGATTTTTTTTTAGGAAAAAAATTTATGTGAAATTTTTATTTAAATTTGACACAAATAATAGAAAATTTTAAATAAAATTTAAATAATAATAATTGGTATTTATTTTCAAGTTAACGCATTTGTATTATATAATTTATAATTAATTATTTTTTATATATTTAATTTTTTAATTAATAAAATATAATTATATTAATATAAATATAAATAAAATTCCTCAGCAAAGTAAAGGGATCAATTGGTATAAACAATGAGAACCTTGATGTTATAAAATATTTTATATTCTATATTCTGTTAATTTTTTTAGTTGATTGATCTAATATGTTTATTTGAATGAGATTTATGATAAATATTTGAGAAAAGTTATGTTTAGATTCTAAAATTAGACTTTATTCATTAATTTTTAAATTTAATGAATATAATTATAATAAATAAAAATTTATAATTTAATACAGCATAAAAGCATACATATATTTTCTTATAAAATTCGAGGTACTATTTAGATATTATTATCCCTCGGAACCAAAAAAAGAAAAAAAAAGCCCTAAAACAAAATTTAAGGTTTGGCATCGCGAAGACTTACGCTACCGCTTCCGCTGCTGATTCTCTCTCAATCTCCACAGTTTATATTTTTAGGTTTCCTTCGACACAAAGCAAGCTTTACAAATCTTTTCAAGTTTACTTCTCCTTCGCCTCTGCTTCTTTGGTACGCTAACTCTCCCTCTCTCTCTATCTATCTATCTCTAATCTTATCCATTAAATCTGTTTCTTTTCTGCAATCTTGTAATTGTTGTTTTCTTTCGATTAGGTTTTCGCTTAATTGCTTGTTGGCTTCAGATCTGACTAATTTAATTCTTCTAATATGATTTTATATGGAATCTGTTGTTTTTAATCGGTTAGCAGATTAGAATTATTTATTTGTTGGATTTATAAGTTAATTCGATTGTTTGTAAATACATGTTGTTGCGGACTTTTGGTCTAAAAGCCGGAGTGCGAATGTGTACAGTTAGCTAACTTAGGTGTGATTCAGTGGTTGTAATAGTGCATTGACAATGTTGATACTAATATTGTTTGGATGGCAGTATTGACTGAATATGAAATGGAAAATTTTCTTTTTTTTTTTTTAATTGAAGGATACTTAAATTCGTCTATCTGAATTTCATTAATAAATGTAGAGTGGAGATTTAGGGCAATTGTAGACCAAGCCCTTTTTTTTTTTTTTGGTTTCTGCTACCGGAAGCAAAATGCAACAATTGCTTTTGAATAGTTGAAAATTGAAAACTAAAATTTCTAAAACGGCTAAAGGCATGATTTTTTACTTTAATATCGAGCAATCGTAATTGAATCTGTGTTGTGTTTTAATTATTTTCTTTTTTTTTCAATCGAATATGATTTGGTTTTGCTTGTCATTTTCTTATCCTTTATAGTAACAGTTGTGGAAGCATAAAACTAACAGCCAAGCAGTGCCTAATGTTTTCTTTATTGAAATTGTTTAACTGAATTTAATGAAGTGATTTTGTAATGTCATTCATTCAACCTTTTACCAAAAATTTTGGTATCTTTATCCATTTATATTTCTTTTAAGTGATTGCCTTTTATTGTTGGTGTGGCATTTATTATTGTGAAGAGTGTTTCCATCTTTTGGGATATGATCTTTCCAAATAAAAGATACCGTGAATGCAAGTAAATTGATTCCTTGTGGTCATAGAAATTTTAACAGTCATAAGTTGCTTCTTGTTCTTTTGTTTGCTCATACTTTGAAATGCTTGTTTTCAATCATTACATTCATTAAGCATGTTTCCTCCATTTCTCAATGCTGATCTGGTGATGGCATGTTTAATCCAAGAAGAGATCTCAAATTGATTTAACACCCATGTGTTGAATTTTTTTTGTTATTTTTTTGCTGAAAAAAATGCAGCTTATAGTATGTCTGAAGATGTGGAGTACCGCTGTTTTATTGGTAACCTTTCATGGTCAACATCAGATAGGGGCCTAAAAGATGCATTTGAGAAGTTTGGAAATCTTCTTGAGGCCAAGGTAATGAATCATGAAACTCTCTCTTTATGACATATCTTCTCTTATTCATTCTCTATCTTCTAAATACTTGAGCTTTCTGATTATCATCATCAAATTTGATCCTGGTCAAACATTGTATTTTCTTTCATTGTTGCTTTTACACAAGGTAATAGATTTCATTAGTTCATAAGCTTTTTCAGTTTCTTTGTTTTCACTTGCCGCCTTCGGTTTCTGAACGTGTAACCCCTTTTGAAAACTATTCTTTATGCCCCTGGATGTCAGTTTATTTTCCAATTCAGATTGACATTAATTACTTTAGATGACAATAATATGTTGTACAGAACACAACTAGTAATCATAATAGCATTATTTGTTTAAAGAATTATAACTGATAAGCTGTTTGGAACTTTATTATTTTTTGAATACATTATGGCATTAATTTTTTTCGTTTTGGCCTGCACTCCAAACTATATTTTATGATGTTTTAATTAATCATCAACAAGATTTGACTGAGAAAACTTTTGTTGATTCAGGTAGCTGTCGACAAGTTTTCTGGCCGTTCTCGTGGATTTGGATTTGTCACTTTTGATGAGAAAGAGGCCATGGAAGAAGCAATTAAAGAAATGAATGGAATGGATTTGGATGGGCGGAATATAACTGTTGATAGAGCTAAGCCTCAACAAGGGTCAGGGAGAGATTATGATGGTGACCGTAATCGTGATCGTGGACGTGATCGTGACCATGATCGTAATCGGGGCTATGATGGCGGCCGTGGGTCTAATGGTGGGGAGTGTTTTAAGTGTGGGAAACCTGGACACTTTGCTAGGGAGTGTCCTAGTGATGGGGCTAGGGGGGGCAAGTATGGTGGTAGGGGGGATCGTTATGGAGGAGGTGGTGGTGCTGGTGGTGCTGGTCGTTACGGACCTGATAGGAATGGAGATCGATTTGGTGGGCGGAGCAGGGATGCAGGTAGTCGTGGGGGGTCTGGAAGTGATAGATACAATCGTGATCGTTCTGGACCGTATGACCGTCGTGGAACTGGAGGTCCTCGTTCTGGATAAGATGACTGTATGTGGTATGCATATTTAATTATTCTTTTGGCTTGCTAATTTCTTCTTCTTTTCCTTTTTTGGATTCAAATTTGTGATCATTGTTGTATTGATGGAAGCATATTTTGATTGCAGCTTATGAACTAAGGTTGCTGCTCTTATGGCGAAGCATGAAGTTTCTTTTTTACAGGATGTGCTCTCTTCATTGTTGTCTGGGTGGAACAATATAATAGTTCAGTCCTTTGAAGTGTGAAACTTGGCACAAATCTACTGACTATTTATGTGCTCCTTAAATGCTGTGTTCGATGTTTTGGTCCGATGGAGTCTTGTGCTTTCTTGACATGCTCTTTCAAATATGGTCTTATGCTCTCTGAATGCTCCATTTTTTGTGACTCATGCATTGTCAACAGCAATTGCCATTACTTCTGTCCAACTTCTCGTTGACTTTTTTGAATGCCCAATTATGGTAGATGGTTTGGTCTTTGCATGGGTATATGGAAGAATGATGGGGAGTGGTCCACCATTTGGGTTTGTTTTGCTTCTTCTCACCTAAGTAGAATCTTTCTTTATAAGTAGATGCTCATTTTGGCTGCCCTGTTTTCAGTATCTTTCTAAATAAACAGGAGTCAAGCGGGTAATTTATTTTTCTTGCATATTGCTTTACTCTGTGCTAGTTTGTTAATTAATAGTTTGTGTAGTATTGATGCTGTTGACCTTTTGGCAGGATGCTTGGCCGTTTGTGGCCTTTATGGATACTTGATTGGGTTTCTTTGTTGCTAATTGGGCATGGTTTTATAAACTTTAAAATTGCGAGTTTTTTGGGCGCAACAAAGGATCTGCGTACTAACTGAATATAAGCACACTCTCTGTTCCTTATGGCGCACTGATGGAAGAGTTCCATTTCCTCTAGACACATGGCAGGTTGTTTGGAAGCTCTTTGATGAGTTCAGCAACTGCTGTTATTTGTTCCCACGAGTCTGTGCTTTTTGAGTGTGGATTGCCCTTCTTGCCTTGTCCGTCTTCTGGGTTCTAGTGTCTTGATCTTTTTGGCTAAAATTCAGAAAATTGGTTAATATATAGTTCTTTCAGCTCAGATCGTGCTTGCTAAGTCCTTTTTGGTTCCTTGTGTCAAAACTCTTCGACTTTGAGGGTTGGTTTGCCTGGGGCTGTGTAGGAGATTGGTGCCTTCTTCTTAGCTCTTTCTGAAATATGGCTGAAAGGAAATTGTTCCTTGGTTCCTCTCTTAGGACTTGAATTGTTGCAATTTTTCCAACTGCAACCGGGACCCCTTGTCCATCAAATTGTTGGAGTGTGCTATAGGCATGGGTGATATTTTCTTGGTTTATGTGGCATTGCTTCATACATGCTTGAATTGTTTGGTTTATTTATTTATTTATTTTGGTTTTTGTGGATTATATCTTGCTTTTGTTATAGACCTACCTATTTAAGTGGTATAAATAATAATTAATTTGAATCACTGTTTATGTATATAAATGGATGTACGTTTGGCATGCATGGAGCATTAGCTTTTCATTATTTTGTGCTCATCTCTTACAAATAGTAGTAGAGTAGAACTTGAATGGTTTCTTCACCAAAGCTTCACTCATCTTTTTGTCACAGTTAAGAGATTAGAATTCACCTCTCTTACAAATAGTATTAGCTCACATGAATAGGGTTGGGAAACTTTTGGAGAAAATATGTAAGCCTATCTAGAACTCGTCCAAGACAATGTCGCGGCTCTCAGGTCCTTGGATAAATAAAGAGTGATTGTAGAGTTGGGCTGGGCCGGGGATCGCAATTCGCCAATTCCCATTAAAAATTGAATTGGGTGCTTGTCGGAATATGTAGCTGCATCTCATTTTTATTGGGGCAGGCGGGGCGATTTAGATAACTGCAAAATTGTAACACGAACGCCACATAATCGGGAGTGTCCTAAAGCTGCTACTTTTCCTAAATGATCAGGGGAACAGGGACTTTCCCTCGAATCAATCTCGCATTTCTCATAACTCTTCACCTTCTTTAGCATATTTAACATTTGTTAAACTTATATTTAAAAAAAGGTCACATTTGTGTGTCGTGGAAAACTTTTATTTTTTCCTTTTATAATGAATCAAGATTTTATGGCTATAATTAGATCATGTCAAATGTTCGTGTTACGTCTTACAGAATCCAGTTTGTGGGATAAGAGCCCGAATCAAGTTTGTGGATAAGAGCTCGTATTGAACATATAGGTCATGTTTGATATTTAAGATTATGATAGAATATAATAAAATGATATTATAAATAAAATTAAATTAAATAATATTATCTTATTTTATATTAAATTATTTATTAATCAAAATTATTTTTTTTCAAAGTTTATACAATTTAAATTATTGATATAATTTTTAAAGATATAATAAGACATATAAGTTTAATCTTATAATTTAAAAATAATTCTTTTCACTTTGAGAGGATTGAATCATCCTATATTAAGAGGATGATAATCTTTTTTATAATCTTATCACTTTCAATTAGATATAAACTAAATATAATATAAAATTATTATCATATTATTATATCTATCATTTTATGTATCAAATATGATCATAAATTATTATAATGGAATAAAAACGAACAGAAATTTTGAAACTTTGCAACAATCAACCAGTTTATAGACTTTTACATTAATATAAAACTTCAGAAATAAATATCAAAAGCAACATTCCTCCCTTCTCTTTATCTCCCCCATCCATTTTCAATCCTAGAAAAAACAAAGAAGATAGCTACCCATGAATGCTCTCCCTTGAAAATAAACAACCTTTTTCACTTGCATAACATTACATTATTATATAAGTAGTGAGCTTTAGTCCAAAGACATTTGTGTTTGTAGATGTGAAGTTTCTTCAAATGCAGGCATATAATAGCCAGAATTCCAAGTTACTGCCCAACTGATTTGGCAGCTGTCGCTTCTTATCTATCTTGTCTCCATCTACATCATGTACTCTGCCTCCCCTTATCATCTCTGCGTCCATTTGAGTGTATATGAATCTTGTTGCCTTACTATAGGTTTCAGCAATTAGCCCTACAAAACTATTACTTGCCAGCATTTCTTTCAAGGCTTCCCTGAGTTTTGTTTCATAACTCCTCCATTGCCTTCTTTCAGGAGACGCCAACCCATCATAATCTCCAGGTTCTAGGCAGTGATTTTTCTTAGAATCATCATCTTTCACGTTTCTGAACAAGTTTTCCATATCACTGGGTGATGGTTGGTTGGCAATTGGAGCCATATGCTTGAAGTGGAAATCCCAACACAGAGAAGGAAGAAAAGAGGGGAATGAATATTAAGCAGTGCTTGTGGACGACACAAGCCATGCATATTGGGCTTGGAGGGCATTTATAGAATGAGATTTAACTCATTCATCACTATCGTGTTATAGCCTTTAAGGTGGGGATACTGTGGAAGACACGTAAGCTCATCAAACTTTATATATATATATATATATATATTCATAAAAGAGATAGTGAATAAAAGAAAAATGTTATATCAGTTGAGATTTAAATTTTAAATTTAATAGATATTATTTTTTTTAAAAGATAATTAATGAACAAATAGAGTTAAATTATGGGTCGTTGAATTTGCGTTTAATTAACTAAAATGTACTATATAGTTGTTGGTTTTGCCACTGATTAACTTTTAGGTTGTTATTGGTTTAGGTGCCCTTGTTTTTTCTTCAAGTGTAGGCCCTATAGCTTTTCGCTGGACAGAGGAGTTCTATACAAAATTCGAATTATTGGGCAAAATCACTTCCAAAAAAGTAATCTCAAGGATGGTCACAAAATTTGCTATTCAATAGGTATATAAAATGTCTTGAAAACTCCCTTAAACAATTTGAATCCAGTCCAAATATTAAATAAGTAAAATTTTTGTTATCATCTTTTGGCTATGTTGGATCGTTCTGTCATCTATCTTGCAATCATTACATGATTTATTCATATTGTAAATAGTCTAAATCACGGACATTTTCTTTTATATATTGTCCATTTTATACAAAACTCAAAACTTAAGATTCTATTTGATTTGAAAAAATATTTTTTATTTTTTATTTTAAAAAATGTATTTAGTAAATGAAAATAAAAATTATTTTTTAAAATTAATGACGTTAAAAAGTATTCAAATATAATAACTTGTAAAACATAAAAAAAATAATGTACATCTTTTATTTTCACAATTAATAATATTTCTTTTTTCATATTTTAACTTATTTTTATTTTTGTTTTTCAAAAAATTATTTTCATTTTCAATTATCAAATATGTTTTCATTCATATTTTTCATTTTTCAATATTCAACAAAGGCACAAATCTTGGCAACTATTAATCTATAATATTTATTTATTTGAGCACAGTACTTTTTTTCCACAATTATATTATTGATGATAATGGAGCATACTTAACAGAGGGAAAGAGGTTGTGCTGCTCGTATATGCTGTGGGGGTCGGATCGGAGTGTGCTTTCCACACGAAAGGAGTGTTTTTATTTTTATTTTTATTAGTGGGGGTGTACTTACAGGATAATGTCCACCTGATCTTTGATCAGATGCTTAGACATTGTGCTTTCAAACTAATTTCAATAAATAAATTGGAAAGAGTGCGAATTCCACGTGAAAGCCACAAACATTCACTTATAAATAAAATATTTTATATAAACAAAAATTATATGCTTAGGTAATTAAAATATTTTCTTGAACTCAAATTTTAATTAAATTAATTTATCATTTATTTTTAATATTTAATAAATGATATGCAATAAATTTAAAGTTTAAATATCAAAATATGTAATTTTTTAATCTTTAAACTATTATATTTTTATATAAAAAATTAAAGTATTTTCCTTTAACCAATTTTTATTAAAAGACATCTCTGATCATCAGTTCTAAAATTATAAACTACTAAAAAGAAGTTGGGTGCTGAATAGCTAGGCAAGCACTTAATGATATGAATTGGGAAGTAATTTTTTGAATGATTAGAGAATTTCACATCTGCCAAAACTCTGATAATCAAAATCTTACTTTCCATGGTGGTGGTGGATCTACTAATAGAATTACAAACTATACATGAAGAGTGTGGATTCCATACTGAAGTTATAAAAATTAAGAAGATTATCCCCATAAAATCACAAACTAGGGATAATAGCCAAAGTCAATTCTTGAAATCGAGATGGGAGAGGAAAGAAAAAAAAATCGAATGCTTTTGAGCATGAGAAGCGTTCCTATTACGTGTGGAAGTCTTAAGGCTTAGGGGCCTAGGCTAAGGGCTAAGAGGGACAGAAACAGAAGAAATTATTGCAAGCGTGGGTCATTGGCTTATCCCCTTGCCCCCCAATGGCACTAAAACCTTGGGTTAAGGATCACCTCTCAACAACTGTCAATATATATATATATATATATATATATATATCATCACTTTCTCTCCCTTCTTGATCTCTGCAGGGATTTGGATGGATCAAATTGTGAATATTCAATTACTGTACTTTGTTGGATTGTAATGTTGTATGATATTGCAGGAATTGCAAAAGGAAGAAAGAGAGGTAAGACAAAGAAAAAGTAAACGAAGGAAGCTGAGGAAGATGATAAAAGACTTTGATTTGTTAGAGCAAACATGAAAATTTAAAATTATTATTTTTGATAAATTTAAAATTTTAAGAAAAGATTCTAAGGAGTATAACGATATCATTTTTTCAAAAAATTTTATTTATTTTTATTATATTATTTAATTAGTAAATGTATAAAAGAGTTACAAGTAATAAACTTTGAGAATACAATAAAATTTAGTGACTGATTACATTTTACATTGATAAAATTAATCTACCAAGTATTCACCAACGTATCAAAAGATCATCAAATTTCTATAAAGATATTCTGTAACAAAACTTTTATAAGAAAAAAATATGGAATTTGTCGAAAGAGAGAGAGTTCCAAAAATTGTTTTCTATATATTTTTAAAAAATCATAGTAGCCTTTTATAAATAGATAAGTGTATTTTTTTATAGACATGATTATCTATTTTAAATAGATAAAAATTATCTATTTTTGAACAGTTGAAAATATTCATTTTAAATAGATTTATCTTTCTATTTTGAATAGACTTAATTATTTGTCTTTATTTTTTCTTTTTCAATGTGGTATTATTTCCCATAATTTATTTTGAAAATCTAATAATCCCCCACCATTTTAAAAATAATTTAGATTTATGATAAGCTTGAAATCAATTGCATAAATAAATGTATCTTTCGATTTGACATTCATTTAGTGAAAACAAGTTAAAGTTAATCGAAATCGCATGGTAGACTATGTTTTGAACTAGCTATATCATTTGGTTAACCGAACTTATCTCACACAATGATTTCAACATCCATGAATGCTTGATATTCGATGATACATTTATGGCCATGTGTCTTTATCCTCTTTTCATGAGTGTTGTTAGAGCCAAGCTCTTAAG